AACTGCGGTCGACTACGTGGGAGTCCAGTGACATAGCCATTACGCTAACTGCTGGTTCCCCCAAAATCTTTATTTTATGCATTAGCTTTCATATAGTTTCTCTAAGCCTGCTCTCTACAAACTTATATTTGTATTAAAATGGATCACAATCCCCTACAATATAGGTTTACACTGACTGTGGTGTCATCTTTCAGAAATTCTACTGATGGCTTCTGAGGTGTGAATGCTTGAGTCCCCTAGAGTTCATATATTGAAATCCTCCCTCCAAGGTGATGGTATTGAGAAGTGGGGCCCTTGGGAGGTAATTAGGTCATGAGGGTGGCACCTTCATAATGAGATTCCTGCCTTTTTAAAGGTCCCTAAGGACACAGTGAGATGGCACCATCTATAAACCAGAAAATGGGCCCCTCACCAAACATCAAATAAGCTGGAATTTTGATCTTGGACTTCCAGCCTCTAGAACTGTGAAAAATGTGTGTCTATTCTTTGTAAGCCTGAATTAGACTAAGACAATGGCAACAATCAGACATCATGAAAGCACTATCTGTTCACTTTGTAGTTTCATTAAGACCCGGATTTAAAAATTCACTGTCACCATCAAAGCCACAGGATCTCTTCATGTTTTTTCTTTAATTAAAAACAAAATAGTGAACAATTCCATGTGTCATTTAAGATAAAGCCTGGCTCATGGTCTAGGACAGGTGGACATGCCCTATCACAAAATGCTTAAGAAGTGGAAGGTGCAGGCTGGAGTGTGCTCATGTGGGTTCCACAGATGAATGAAGTTAAGGAATTATTTTCTAAGTTTGGGAGTGGAGAAAGGGGGAGCAGGACTATGCAGGCCAGGGGCAGCATGTAGTGAGGCTTGACCAGGACTGTAGTATGGCAGGGTTGGAATGAGACGGGATTTGGGGAGGACATGGGGACACAGGCTGATGCCTGATAGCAAAGGGTCTTTGATTGGTTGGGAGACAGAGAAATGATCCTCCAAAGATGCCCACCTCTCAAAGCTAGGAATAAATTTTGTTGCAAGGCAAGTGAGATTTGAGGCTGCAGATGTAATGAAGGCTGTTGATTGGCAGACCTTGAGATAGGAGATCATCCTGGACCATCTGATGGGCCCAGTGTGATCATGGGGTTCTTATAAATGTAGGCAGGAGGCAAAAAACTCAGTGCCAGAATGATAGGACATGAAAGAGACTTTGTAGCAATTGCTAGCTCTGAAAAAGAAGGAAGAAGCAATGAGCCAAACCATGAAGGTGATCTCTAGAAGGAAGAAAATAGTGAAGGTGGAGCCAGCAGGTGGTATAGTAGTTAAGGCACTGAACTTTCATATGTCCAACCTCAGTTCAAGTCCTAGACCTGGTGACTTGCTTTCTCACCTTCCCTTTCTCTCTCAGTCGCTCTCTGGTCAAATTAAAATAATAATAATAATAATAATAATAA